AGACCTTATCTCTACAAAAAAAAAAATCAAAATAGAAAATGATATTTTTAAGAACCACGTTTTTGTAGTGGAGAATAATAGATAAAAAAAAAAATTGAAAAACGAAAAGCGTGGGGAGCATGAAATACATAACAGTACATATACACATACATATGCGTATTTTCTTACTCATACACATCCACATCCACACATACATCTACATACACATCCATATACACAAACATACTCTACATACACATCCACACTCAGATACAATTACAATTACAGATATACATACACATATTCTCATGAGCACACATACACACACTAATATCACATTACTGTTATGTATTTCATGCTCCCCACGTTTTTCGTTTTTCAAATTTTTATTTTTTAATTATTATTCTCCACTACAAAAACGTGGTTTATAAATATATCTTTTTTTATTTTGATTTTTTATGAATAGTATTCATGTTACTGATAATCTGGATCTGGTTATGTGGATATGAACGAATCTTACCCGACACTGGATACCTGGTAAAATTGGTCGGTACCGGGTAAAAAAATTTTTTTCCGGGTCCGGATTAGAATCGCGTAACCCGAACATCTAAACCGAATTATGCTAAGTTCGTTTTTTTATTATTCAAGTTTCAAATAATGCGTGGTTGCTTGCTTCTGTATTCTTCTAATCTGAACTCAGATCAGATATAAAAGATATAAAATGAGTCAATAACAGCAGTTCATGAGATATGTCTACAATTCCTCTGACAAGACATTTAAAAATTACGGGGAAAAAATAGATAAACTATCTAGCACTTAAATCTTAATAAGAACATTTCATGTTTCTTTTCATGATTTCATTTTTCTACAAACCTTTTATTGCTTGAATTATTGATTTTAAGCAGTATGTAATTTATTTTATTTACATACTTAAGAATAACTCCTTATACATGTATATCCAGAGAAAAAATCATTTTTAAAGTAAAGCAATCACTATTACTAAATGTTTGAAAAATCAGAGAATTTTATTTAGCATTTTTTAAAGTACTAGTGTTTCAAAAAATGCTTTTTGATTTTTCTTTCAGGATTATGCACAAAATTTACTTAAAAAAACCTGGCGTGGTGTTATGACCTGAAGTTCGATTTTTAGTTTATTTATATTCGTAAAATTTTTTAATTTTAAAATTTTTTTTAAAAGGTAATAAAAATTTAGAATATATGAAATTAAATTTAAGTCTAAAACTTTGCTACTCCCTACCTCCCCCCGCAAAACCTGCCTTTTTTGGGAGGAGGGGTGAATGATTCACACAGTCGTGCTGTTGCTTCATTGAAGTAGTGGGAAAAGAAGGTGGAAACAGATTAAATTAATTTTAAATCTTCGAAGATAAAAAATAAATTGAAAATAATGATAAACTAATTGAGAACGTATAATATCAAATACTTTTAGTAAAGCCAAAAAATATTTTTTTAATGTTTACATATTCAAAACGCTTTGTAAAAAAAATGCAATTAGTAAAGAAAAACATATTTTAGTAAATTTATTATTATCATAAAAATATTAGTAGTTGATAATAATTAAAACATTTCTCCTCCGATGAGGTACAGAAATATAAACCAAAACCGCATTTTAATAGAATTAAAAATAGTTGCAATTTTTTTTAAGAAATTACAAAAAACGTCGAAACTTATTTTATTATTTTTTCCACCTCATTTTAATGCCAACTAAAAACTTTCAAGCAGGCAACAGATGGCAGCACACGGCTCATTTTCAATTTTCTCTCAGTTCCGGATGACGCCAAAGTCACTTCCGGTGCGCAGATCAGGCAGGCGCAAAGAAAAATGAGGGAGGGTCGTCATCGAACATTTGTGTGTCTCGTCGATCAGTTCATTACAGAACTATTCATCGTAACGAGTGAGAAGGCGCGTATCATTGTGTTATGCGAGTCGTTCTCGGATTCGTAAACTGTTAGTTGTGAAGTCGCGTTCTCGTTCGCGCGAAACCGCTTCACTTTGTTTCAAAAACACGGACATCTTGTACTTCTTTTCCAGGAGTTAAAAAAGGACTGCTTGAATCTTTTTCTCCCCGAGCTACCCTCCGATCTTCCACAAAAGACCGTGGTTGAAAGGAACCTAGGCCTAGCCTTTCCCCCAAAAATATTCATTCTGAAAACTCTGTCAACAAAACTTGGATTGTTTGTATGCTATTGTGAACGTGAACTGAAATTGTGCTACAATTTACAACATTATAACCTCAGGTGAGTGAAATTCTTGTTAAGTTTCGATGAGAATCGGTATGTTGTTGACATACGAAGCCGCGTAAAGTGTGTTTCATTGATGGCTTGCCCTTGAGCGATTGGCATTGTTGTGGAATTGCACATTTCCGAACGGCGTCGGAACTGTGATAGGCTATTTGTGTATTATACGGCGCTCATTACGAATTGCGGTTTGTGTCAATATATGAGAGTTCGTAAGAGCGTTTTTTAGTTTTTATTCATTTATTTTTTTGGAACTAGTATTTAATATTTCGATCGAGCATTGCATCATAAGCGTAAAATTTGGAGATCTGACAACGTAACCAGCATGCAATTATTATATATCAATTACTGGTAGTTGATTATAGTTACATTTAGAAATGATTGAAATACAGCAATTCCGTCATATCGAAAACCAGATTTAAAATAACGAAATATGACATTTAAGTCTGCTATTAAATATGACATACTTTTTTTAATTTTATTTAAGCAACAGTTAACATTTTATTTTGTATTTGTTTAATATATAAATATGCATTAAGTGCATCGTCAGGTGATAATAATTTGAGTTCAGAATGCATAACTGTTTCAAGTTAATGTCAATCTATGAAATTAGTGATTCAAAGACCATTGATTCTCGAATTATGCTAACGTTGCATACTTATTTTCAGTTAGTGCTGATTCAAATTGGAGATCCAAAGTCATTTGCTCCTCCAGCAATCATGTCCTAGTTAATTATAAAAGCATTGACTGATTGTTGCTTTGAATGCTTTAGCATAGTTTTAACAATTTATGATAGGATTGCATAATTGTTTCCAGTTAATGTTTTCTCATAAATTTAGAGATCCTAAGTCCTTTGCTTCTCCAAGAATCATGCCTTGAGTTGTTAAATATAAACACATTGATACAATTGTTGTCTTTAATGCATTGATATGATTGTTTAGTTGTTTTAATAGCCAAGGTTGTATAATTGTTTCCAGTTAGTGTTAATTAATAAACATAGGGAATCCACAGTCTTTGCTTCTCTTAGCAATCATGCCTTCAGTTGAGCTTAGATACATTGGCATGATTGTTTCCTAGTGAGCATTGATATAATTGTTTAGTGATTTTACTATATTATGCTAAGATTACATAGCTGTTTCCATAGCTCCATTTGTTTATTGTTGAACACTTCATTTTGTGGATTCGAATTCGTTGAAGGGTTGATTTAGATATTTGTATTCTTTCCCAGTCTCTAAATGTTATTTATGATACATACTTTTAATAAAACTTAAATTTTATTGGAAAGTTTGTACCTTCATCTGTGCTTTACAAAATATGTAGGCATGTGATAAGTAAATAGATAATTTCATTTGTCAAAATATCTATATTGTTTCATACTACATGACAGCTAGCTACTATTGTTACTCAGAGTTTGATATAGTAAGAGATGTCAAATTTTTTTGTAGTGTGATCTAATGTTGACATTCCTAACAAGATGTATAATAGAATAATTGTTTTTATTTTACTTGTATTGCAAATATTGTCAGTTTTCTAGGATATCAGTTGTTAATTTTGTCGAAAATGAATTTTAACTTATCTGAATTGCTATATTTCCGGATTGTGTATTTTAGATTTAATGATTCTTTTCCAAATTGTTCTATCGGCACTAATTTATGCATCTCAGTAAAATAATTTTTCTGCTAAAGTTGTTTACATTTTTCTTTTGGCATTCTAAGAAATAAATTCATTGTGATATGTTTATTTTGAGGATCACAGGGGTTACGAGAATTAGAACTTCCTTTTAACCAGTTTTTATAATTTGTAGTTATGGTTATGTCCAAAAAAGAATATTTTTTTTTTTTAATATTTTGATAGGAAGAAATATTAATGAAGTAAAATGTTAAAAGGAGAAAAACAAAAGTTTTAAAAAAATATTTTTTTGCATAATGTGTTGGTAAAGTTTTGTTAAAAATATGCATTTATAAAAAATTGCAGTTTAGTATATTTACTACTGAATTTTTAATTTAAAAATGTTCTTTTTTGTCAATGTTTCTCTTTTATTTCAATGAAGATCATAACTCAGCTTTTGCCTCCTCAAAACTAATTTAAGCTTAGAGTATATGGTGTTTCAACCCTCCTTTGATTAATAATATAAATTTAAATGAAATTTGATTAATAATGTAAATTTGACATAAAATCTAATTTTGAAACAATTATTGATGAAACGATGAAAAAAAAATTTAATTCTTAACATTAAATATTTTTAAGATGTTAAGTTTTTTCCTTTAAAATGTTCACGATTGTTAATACCCAATTTTTGAAGTCTATTTGGTTTGAAGAAAAATGATCATTTATAGTTCCACAGCTGGTGGGAATACTAAGCAGTCAAATTTCAGTTGGTTATCTGATTATTATCTATAATAATAAATTAAAAATGAAGTTTGTCTGTCTTACAACTTCAAACCCATTTAAGCTAGCGTCCTGAAATTTGAACAGTAATAATGAATAATTAGTTTTAGTAATACAGTCAAACCCTGCCTGCTATGTTGAAATTCAAAGGACCAAAATTTCGGTTTATTATAACCGCGGGTGGTTGACTATATCCGTACAGCAAACAATTTTAACTTCCGAACTGCTCCCATTTATTGCACGTAATTTAATTAAGTGACCAATAATAAGAGACACAAAAATGATTACAAACAATATGTACCTAGTAACAAAAAATTTGTTAACTTTTATTTTTTATTACTCTTCCTCTTATGTGCAAAAAATTTAGAGATGGGAAACTTAGATAGAAGAAGCAAACAAGAATAAATGGTTATGACTACATTCCACTCGAGATGATTATAAATATCGATATATGTATTTCATGTAAACATTTCAAAACTACCAAAAAAATCTGTCGAAGACAGAAGAAAGTTCATAATATCCAATTTCCTCTCTTTTGATTCACTATATCCCCAGAAAATAATACATATGTTTAGCAAGGCACGGGAGCGAACATTTTGTTCAATATAGAGGAGTTTAACTGTATGTACTAGTTAAAATAAACTATAAGTTATGTTCTAAAAAGCAAAGTTGATGAGGAGGTGGTTATGGCTAATGATGCTACAACAATCATTTAGATACAAATTGAAGTCAAAGATAAACTATTTACTGAAAATGAAAATTGAAGGAAAAATTGAACTAATTCATTTACAGAAAATAACCATACTTTTATTGACATCAATGATCAGGGGTCTGTCTAGGTTTTTCTGAAAGGTGCCTATTTTGTGAAAATTTAGGCATAATTTATTAAAAATTATATTAAAAAATCATCACTAAAACATGGTAAAAATATAGACTTATCGTTTCTTAAGGGATACAAAAATAAAATTTTAAGAAGTATTTTGTTAAACTACCGTTTTTCCTAAAGTTGAATTTGTGAACCTACAATTTTACCTAAAATTGAATTTGTGAAGGTACCGCTAAAAGGTAGTAAATTCCGCCTGGACGGACCCCCTGTTGATGCTCAAGTAATTTTGCTATTAGTCAATCACTTTTGGCCTTCACTTTGGCCTATTAGTCAATCACTTTTATGGTGATTGGGCCAATTTTAATTAATACCAAGTACACTAAACATAGGTAAAATTAGTACATTTTTCACCTATTAAAACTACATGGATACTGTAGTTCTAGTGTAGGTACTGTTGAAGGATATTTTTAGGGGCCATTGAAAGGTTTAAGTATCACAAAAAATTGCTTGAACTTTGGTAAATTTTTACTATTGTGAGTTGATTTTGATCAATGGCGTCATGCCTAAAGAAAAGATACTTAATACAGTTAGTTTTTTAATGTTAATACAATTAATTTTTGCTTTCATGGGATAAACTACTAAAAAGGTGTTTTGTTTAATCTAATAATGGTAAAAAATAAAGGAATTTGGAATTATTTTAGCTTTATTAGTTTATNTATTTGGTATTTAATCTAACTGCTGAACATTACTGAATAGTAATCTATCTTATTAAAATAAAATATGAACATACTTGTCACACTAACTAATTACTTTCAACTTGTACCAGTGAAGTTTTTATGTATGATTGAGGGGATTATCAATTATTTTCTGCTTCTGTTATGTATATATATTCATTCTAAATGTTTAAATTACAATTAATGAAAAATTAAAACTTTTTTATCTCTACATCCTTCTTTCCATACAATAGTTCATTAATGAAGTAATTTTGGAGGGGATTTTGTCCCCTAACCCTCCTGAAACTACGCCACTGTCTTGTACAAATAAATTATAATTTTACCTATCGAAAGTATGAATTGATCATATTTCCTACTTTGCTGGTTTGTCATTTGGCTTTTTTATACAAAGCCTAGTAAAATAGAGAACCATTCACAATTCCAATCCTAATTTCTATCGGAGCTGTTTTTACCTAAATTATTATTTTTTAAACAATATTTATAGTATTTTATGGAGGTATGACTTATTGTACATTGTTTTTATTCCTAATTTGTATTTTATGAAAGGTTTTATTTATTATTTTCAGTTCTATTAGACTGCAATTTTATGGTTGAGTTTTGTTCACAAACTCTCAACTTAGCAAAGCAATTATTTTTAATTTTTGCTGTTAAACAGATTGCTACATCAAAATTATAGACTAATAATTTTATTAATAATGAGATCCCAAATTTTTTTTATTGTGGTTGCATAGATTTGATTCCACAGGCTATGCTACTGTTTCTATTTAAATATCATAAGTTTCAAGTCAGTAAATAAAGTTTTAAGTTCTATTTAAAAGTTATTTTTCCCCGTAAATATGATAAATTTTATCTGAAACTTCTTTTATTTGTCTTGTTGAAACTTGAACATATTTTATAAAATTTTATTGCCTGTATTCTAATTGTAAAATTCAATATGTTACGTAAAGTGAAGAATTCTTAATATTTTTATTTTTAATTAAAATAATATAAGATTTGTAAATGTTGGAGGTTATAATATTTATAATTAGTTAATGAAACATTTGTGCCACATC